AATAGACAGAATGGATCACCTGCTAGTAGTCTGTTATATTAATTTCCTGTTGTACTGAAGCCACTCATGTACACTTGATATATTTGACTACCAGCTACACAGCTATTAGTTGTTCTCCCTCTCTCTCTTTCTCTCTGCATGGTGGGCCAAAAATGTATTCATTCTCAAATGTTAAAGGAGCAGTAGCTTTGTTCCTGTGTCTCTTATCTGTTGCAGCATCACGTGAGTTGATTTGTTAAATTCTATGTATTTAATCACTCCTTGTTGTTACTTTTTTTATTATTATTGTTATTGTAATCTTATCCTGATTTTTGTATTAATATAATAATATTAACATATGCTATGTATATATATAGTCAATGTACTTGGTTTTTGAAAACAGCAGAATCATACCACCTATACATATGGTAGATCTTTACTAAACAATATCTACTCAGTTTTATGATTAAACAGTTTATAATATCGTGCATTATAGCTTACCTAATTATAGATTATGATGCATGCTTCATTGCTTTTACAAGGTCATTTAGGACATGATAGTGTAAACTGTAAATTGAATGTATTTGGTAATTACACTGGATTGAATCTTACAGCTAATCATAGTCCAAACAAAGTTTAATAAACTAATTATTGTAATTAATTTAAAAATTAATTGTGTATTTTTTAGAGGTTAGGTTCTGTAATGAAAGCTACACTACATCATCTACATATGGTAATCATACCTGGCCTAGTACCAGTGGCTCTTATGCTGTACTATTTTGTAACTTTTGTTCTGGTTATGTCATTCGATTTTGTCATTCTACTGGTTGGGATGCTCCTATCTACAGTCAATGTGGGGGATGTAAGTTTAATAGCTGCATGGGTATAGTTCTGAATTTACATTTAGCCCCAATACTGTAACTTTTTATTGCATCATACATAAGATTGAAATAGATTCTTTCATTGAATTATTGTTACATCAGAGAAGCAATAGAGTAACTGCTAGACATGTGTAACATTTTATCTTTTTATAGTAGCTGGAGGAACATTGGTAATTTTTGATGTAATCAACAATTTTTCGTTTGTCAGAGAATCTTATACAATAAATCAAAGATATGTCATTGTATTGATATGTGGAATACATGGCAGTTCAAGCCCAACAAGAGAAGAGTTCAAGTGGTTTGATTCAAATGGAAATGAAGGTAAAGAATTTTATACATGTGCTTATTATATGATATTGAGGAGAAATAAATTTTAAAATGATAATGATAATATTATTCTATAGTTCAAAATTTAAGTGAGTTTATTAACTCAAGTTTCACATCAACTAATGATGGAAGAAGACTCCTTAACGGAGGGTTCTCCATTGCTGACTTTAAAGGACTCTATTCACATCATGAGTCTAATGTAGCATATTTAGTAAGTTACTTGGACTTTGACCGAAAGGATGACTTTATACTGCCTGGTACAAGTATTTCTGGAACATACACATGCAGATCTTTATGTAGGCATCATTCTCAAGAAATTTCACTCAATACTAGAGGTATATAGCTTAATTCTTCTAACTTTACAATAATAACCAATTATTATTATTTTAGATCCCAGTGGCCCGTTTTCTCAATTCTTCTTCAGGTTCACTGCTTTCTTTGCTAATATAAGTCTAACAGATGTTGATAATAAGGATTATAAACTAGCAGTCATTGAAGCAAATGTATGCATGGACATTTTCAGTTATGTAATGTACTTCTACTTTTTTGACTAGATATTTCAATTAGCTGTTGTTAGAGGTTTCAATTCAACAATAAATCCAATTAGGACAATCTCTTGTCACTTTGTTCCATTGTAAGTTGATTACAGTAAATAAGTTCTATACTTATAGTAATCGATGTAGAATGGAGGAGGATGGTACTTGTGATCGTGTGGAGTGTGATGTGAGAGAGTATCCACCAAACAGTTCATTTGTGGAGGTTGTTCCGAGAAGTATTAATACCTTCATATTCAATGCTAAGAATAGTGAATTGAAGTCTATTTGGTCTATTGTAATGTCAGGTATATATATTACCAAGAGTACATGTACTCTTGATAATACTGACCTTAAATATCACATATTATTATACAATTGTTGCTTTCTAGTCACTGGGTTTTGTAATCAAAGTCAAACTGAGTCACTAGATTTTGGTAATCATACATGGCCAGAGTCAGTTGGTAATACTATACTTACAATGCCTTGTGGTAACCGTCCACTGATGAATGTCACTCGAATGTGTCAGACTAATGGAGTTGGCTGGGAAAATCCTGATTATAGTCAATGTGAAACTAGTAAGTAGATGAGATATTGACTTGGTGGATTGTTTTTGGTATTTCATAGGTACTAGTGAAAATGAAACAAATCGTGGTACATTTCAATGGCCAGTAACACCTGTTGAATCATTAGTTACTGTGTTTTTATCACCTTCATCATCTTATTTTACAACATCAAGTCAAGTTATTTTGCCATCAACCAGTTTCCAAGCCATTTCCTCAGTAAGCAGTGCTGCTGTCCCTTCATCATCATATACTGCTATTCATATGTCACCTAGTCCAACTGTATCTCAAGGTACATAAAAACATTATATTGATTGAATTGATTTCAAATTGGTGAATTTATAAATTTACAGATATTTGTGTCAGTGAGACTATAGTTAATGATCGTGGTACATTTCAATGGCCAGTAACACCTGTTGGATCATTAGCTAACCTTCCTTGTCCTCATGGTCCTATTGGAGCTAGAGCTATTAGACAGTGTAGAAGGAATGGTGTATGGGACACTCATGATATATCAAACTGTGCTGATCCTAGGATTACTGCTGAATTTGCCAGCATAGCTGATGTAAGTGTATACCAATTGAAATATTTTAATTTGTATCCTTAATAGACTAATGTAACTGTTGAGAATGTTGTAGAAGTTGCTCAAAATCTCTCAGAAATAGTGATGTTAGCAAGTCAGACTGGTGATCAAAATGAAAATAATCTACAGAATGTATCATCACTCCTTATTCAAACTGCTAATTTATTCTCTAGTCCTGAGATAATCATAATGTTATCTACTGAAGAGGTTTTTATGGTATGAATGTAAACTATTTGTCAAAGTTGACTTTATTACTTAATCATCATGCTTTATAGACAACAGAGAGGACTATTGAAATACTTAATAGCATACAAGAATGGCCACCACATGTAGTAGCTACACAATCAAATAAGTATGAAGTGTTATAATATGTAAACTGATCAATTGATTGTATTGTCAGTATTGTCCAGTCATTTGAAAGGATAGTGGAAGCTTTGATAAGTCAAAAGAACTTTACTAAGTTAACAATCATTAAAGCTACAATTGCATTTCAGGGACTAAGAGTAAGATAGGTTCAGTGCATTTGATCATATGATTTCTTATGCAGGTCCAAAGGACAGATTTCAGTGGTATAACATTTGTTGGGTCATCATTGAGTAAGATATAATTGATATTTATCTAATTATTTTTCAATTTTTATAGATAATTCTCTCTCAACTGAAACTTTAACTTCTGATTTAAAATCATCCGGTATCAAGGAATTGGATCTAGCTACCATATCATTACCAGCTAGCATTAGCAATGAGACTACAGCAGTTGATATTAATTTAGCATTTACCCTATACACTCAGTCTACATTGTTTCCTATTCGTGACTCAGTTCCTGATACTGTTGTAGGATCATCAGTCATTAGTGCTAGTGTGGATGGTATTCCTGATGGTACTGTACTATCTGATAATGTCACTGTTAACCTGAGAATAGTAGTTGAAGTAAGCTTAATTGAATATTGTGACCTGATGATA